GACTAAATAGTTTGCCCAGGTAGAGGTCAGTGGACATATCACTAATCACTAAGGGGTTGACTTACTAAAACTGGAGAGTGCAAAATCTTGTACAGTTCTGCATAGAAAACAATCAGTTTCCATTTGTTTGTTTTTGTCAAAGCTAAACCACGTGCCGTCTAGAGGATTTACCCCCCTTAATGACCAGGCCTCTTTTTGCTACTCGGCACTGCACTAATTCAACTGATAATGCGCGGTAATGCAATGCTGCACCCAAACGAAATTTACGTCCTTTTTTTCACACAAATAGAGCTTTCTTTCGGTGGTATTTGATCACCTGTGCGCTTTTTTATTTTTTTTCGCTATAAACAAAAAAAGACAAAGTTTAAAAAAAAATTATATTTTTTACTTTCGGCTATAAAAACTTAGTTATAAATTAAGACCAAAATGTATTCTGCTACATGTTTTTAGTAAAAAAAATTCCAATAAGTGTATATTGATTGCTTTGTGTGAAAGTTATAGCATCTACAAACTATGGTATAGATACTGCAATTTATGCCATTTTTTTGCTATACAGTGCTGCACTAGTTTAACTGACAATTGCGTGGTCATGCAACAAGGTACATACATGAAATTTATGTCCTTTTTTTTCCACACAAATAGAGCTTTATTTTGGTGGTATTTGATCACCTGTGCGCTTTTTATTTTTGGCGCTATAAACAAAAACGTTTTGAGAAAACATTTTTTTTAAAAACTATTTTCTCATTTCTGTCATAAAAAAATATCCAAAAAAAGTTAAATTTCATCATGAATTTAGGCCAAAATGTATTCTGCTACATGTTTTGGGTTAAAAAAATCCCAGTAAGTGTATATTGATTGCTTTGTGTGAAAGTTATAGCATCTACAAACTATGGTATAGATAATGGCATTTACACGGCTTTTACTTTCTGACTGCTCATCACATTTCTTGAGGTGCTAAAATACCAGTATAGTGCAATTACCCCCAAATTACCCCTTTTCGGAAAGTAGACACGATAAGCTATCTGCTGAGAGGCATATTGAGTCCATGGAAGATTTATTTTTTTTTCCACAAGTTTCTGGAAAATTACTTTTTTTTTTTTTTTTTTAACACAAAGTTGCCATTTAAATGATATATTTCTCGCACAAGCCATGGGTATATGTGGAATTACACCCTAAAATACATTCTGCTACTTCTACTGAGTATGGGGATACCACATGTGTGAGACTTTTTGGAAGCCTAGCCATATACAGGAGCCTAAAATTGAATGACCACTTTGAAAGTCTGAAGGTGCGTAACTTCCTCATTTCACTTCTTCACTACCTATCACAGTTTCAAAGGCCCTGAAATGCCAGGATAGCACCAAACCCCCCCAAATGACCCCTTTTTGGAAAGTAGACACCCCAAGGAATTTAAGAAGAGGCATGGTGAGTATTTTGCAGATCTAATTTTTTCTCACAAGGTTTTGAAATATAAAAAAAAGAAAAAATATATGTTTGTTTTTTTTTTCTTCATTTTCCAAAACTTGTGGCAACAAACGAGATCTGCAAAATACTCACCATGCTTCTTATCAAATTCTTTGGGGTATCTACTTTCCAAAAAGTGGTCATTTGGGGGGGGGGTTAGGTGCTATTATGGCATTTCAGGGCCTCCGAAACTGATGGGTAGTCTGGAAGTGTAATGCGGAAATAAAGCCCTTTAAAAGCCTGAAGGCGTTTATTGGATTTTGGGGTCCTGTACTTGGCTAGACTGCCAAAACGTCTCTCACTTGTGCTACCCCCATACTCGGGAGAAGTAGCGGAATGTATTTTGGGGAGTAATTCTACATATACCCATGGCATGTGTGAGCAGTAAATCATTTAAGTGACAATTTTGTGTAAAAAAAAAAAAAAAAAAAAAAAATTATTTTCCAAAAACTTGTGGTTAAAAAAATAAATTCTTCTCTTGATTCAACATGCCTCTCAGCAAATAGTTTGGGGTGTCTACTTTCCAAAAAGGAGTCGTTTTGGGGGGTGGGGGCGTTTTATGCCCAACATTAGAAGTTTATGCCACACATCATTCACTCTTCTAACCAGCTGAAGACCAAGCCTTTTCTGACACTTTTTATTCACATGAAAAAAAATCAGTCTTTTTTTTGCTAGGAAATTAATTTAAACCCCAAATATTCTATATTTTTTTTAAAGCAAATACCCTAGTGAATAAAATGGTGGGTGCTGCAATTTTTTTTATGTCACATAGTACTCGCGCAACGATTTTTCAAACGCAATTTTAAAAAAAAATACACCTTTTTTTTTACTTTTAATGCACAAAAACACAATATATTGGCAAACAGTTTGGTAAAATATAAAAGATGATGGTATGCCGAGTAAATAGATACCAAACATGACATGCTTTAAAACTGCGCATGTCCCGTGCAATGGCAACAAACTGCATACGTATTTAATATCCGTAGGCAACATTTTAAAAGCCTTTACAAGCTACCGTTTTAGATATACAGAGGAGGTCTGGTGTTAGAATTACTGCCCTTGATCTGACGTTTGTGGCGATACCTCACATGCATGGTGCAACTGCTGTTTCCATACTGACACAGGGTCAACACTTCAACACAAACTACAAACGCAGGTGCGCGCAGGGGGCGAGGGTACTTTTTATTTTTTTTTTATTTTTACACCGTCCCTTTTTTTTTTTTATCACTTTTAATGCTATCACAGGGAATGCAAATATCCCTTATAACTTCAGTGGGCATTGTCATATATTCTTTTTTGAGAAATCTGAGGTCTATCAGATCTCTCCTCTGCCCTTACATTATCTAATCAAACCAAAATCGGTGTGATCAGATGCTTTCCCAATTTACAAATGACGTTGTTTATATCCTGCGAAACTGAAGTGTTGAAATGCTCGTAGCTTCTGATTTCTTAGGCTATAGAGCTGATTGGCACCATTCTGGTCTCCAATCAGCTCTGATCAGCTGGCAGAAACATCGGCTGCATTCTCAGGTTCAGGACTGCCCGAGAAGGCCGTGCTAGGCAGCAGGGGAGGGGGGGGTATTGTCTCCCGGTGCTTGTAAAAGCAATCCTGCAGCTAATTAGCCACTAGGATTGCTTTTACATAAAAGCTGATCTCCAGCTGAAAAAAATGATACTAGGATGATGCCTGAAGCTGTAGGCATCATCCTGGTATAACCAAAGTCCAGTGATGTACCAGTACATCGCTGGTCCTTGTTTGGTATATATGCTATGTTTTTTTTTTTTTTTTTTTTTGTATGCAGCCTGTGGACTGAATGAAAAAAAACAGAAGAAATCTCTGCCAAAAAAAAAGTGTGGTATGCCCACCATTAAAATATACCGCCCTAAATCCACCCACTTCTAATGGTGGGCACACATTAGGTCACATGGTGCCACATGCATCAGTTCCAAGATTGTACAAATGTCTAAATAGTGTCACGCTTGAATAAAAATTGTCCACATAAGTGGTGTCCCATATGGAAAAAGTATGACACCAAGTCCCAAACTATCTTGCCACTACTCCCCATGTAGTCTGGGCATCTGGGGGGGCTCAACATGACTAACTTTTCTCTCGTAAATCCGAAGCTTACAAGTATAGTCTGTTGCCCTCTCACAGGTCTTCTACATCTTGACCCCATATCTGGCACGCTTGCTGGGGAGAAATTGTTTGAATGCAAGGCGGACAGAAAAATTAATGATGGGCTCATCAATGCAGATTGTTTGCTGGGGAGTATAGACATCTGAAAAGTTTTGATTAAGGTGATTTACGAGGGGCTGAATTTTGTGTAGCCGGTCAAATTCAGGGTCACCTCGAGGACAACGGAGTGTGTTGTCGTTGAAATGTATAAAACACATTATACTTTCATATCTATGCCTGGCCATGACCGCAGAGAACACAGGCATATGATGAATCGGGTCTGTTGACCAATACAATTGCAATTCATTTGTCTTTTTAGTAATGCCCATGTTGAGGGTTGGGCCCAAAAAAAATATAAATTCAGAAACTGTAGTTTCCATGCGACTGGTCTGGCAAGGTTTGAATTTGGGTTGGCAGCGATACATTGTTGTGCCTAAAAAATGCTTTGATCCACAATCAATGCATACAGATCTTCCATGAAAAACAGCTCCAAAAAGTCAAGGGGAGTAGTTAAATTTGCTATTTTCACCTGAATTCCGGGTTGGGCAGTGAATGGGGGAAGTACAGGTGCTGCAGAATTTGTGGGCTGCCAATCGGGATTTGCAGTCACACCTGGACGGATACTAGGTGCTCTATGGGCCTGCGTGCGAATTCTTGGTGGTTGCGGGACAATACTTGTGCTCGCCACCACACCAGCCTATATGGCACTTATGGAACTCGCAATGTCACCAAGTCATACTGCAGTGCTGGTATTATTATTATTATACAGGAATTATATGGCACCGACACTTTTCTCAGCGCTTTACAATATAACGGGAGACAATACAGAACAATACAGTTCAATACAAGAGGGTTAGGAGGGCCCTGCTCCTTGCAGCTTACAATCTAAGAGGTATGTGAAAGACCAGGATATACTAGACTGTTGGTGCTCACCAGTTCACCAAAAGATAGTGTGGCACTAGTACTGGCACTCTGCTGCATATGAGTCATCAAAATTTACCGGCAAGTGCTAACAGAGATCAGGCCTGATTCTGCCAACACTGCAAAACTGGTTGCTGTGACATTCAGATGGTAGGGTCAGTATTTGGTGTAAATGACATGAAATCATGGATCCATCCTGCCTTGTATCAATGGTTCAGCCTGCTGGTGGTGTAATGGTGTGGAGAATATTTTCTTGATACTAATAAAGTGACCGGTGAGTGAATAGTGCTGGAGGGATCTCTGTAAATCATACAGTATTTGTGCTGCTTGTTTTTAACCTGAACACATCATTTAGTAAGTACACTGGTTTTAATACTGCTTTAGAATCCAAAACTTATACAGTGTATTTAAAAAGCTGAAATGTGGCTTTTTCTTCTAGACTACAGATCTTATACGAGCGCTGCAGGAACTGGAAAATGCAGCTTCTGGAGATGCAGCTGTGCATCAGAGGATAAGCTCACTGCCAATAGAAGTACAAGATGTGTCACTTCTAAACAAGATTACTGGTGAGGATTGGATTATTTCAATACCTAGTATACCTTAAATTATTACTAAACTCAAAAAGAAATGTTAAAAAAAAAAAAAAAAAAAAGCAAATATGTTATACTGCAGTGGTATTGCAGAGAGCCGCCCTGATCCTCTTCTCTGGTCCCCTGCTTGCGATCTTGTCATCTCCTCTTCTTAGTGTGTCCCCATAGCCATTTGTTATGGGGCACACAGTGTCTGTGCACTCCCGAGCCGTGTCTATGGAGCCGTGCTCCATTGACTTACACATCGGGACTTGGCACCGCCTCCCTCTTCCTCCTCACTGCATTTGATTGACAGCAGCAGGAGCCAAATGCTTGGGTGCTGTGTGAAGTGGAAGAGAGGGGAGAATAGATGCAGCCGTGCACAGCGCTGGATCTATTCTCCCCTCTCTTTCCCTTCACACAGGGAAGGAGGGAGGGGGGGGGGCAGAGAAATAATAATGTTTTTTACCTTAATGCAAGAGATGCATTAAGGTAAAAAATATTTTTACCTTTAGTATCACTTTAAAGACTTTCTTCCCTGATTTATGCAATGTTGTTTTTTTCTTTTTGGACCATTTAGATAAAGCTTCGGGAGATCAACTTGCAAAGATGGTGGATGATGCTTGCATGCTGCTTGCAGATTATAATGGCAGACTAGCAGCAGAAATAGATGACCGTAAACAACTGACCAAAATGCTGTCAGATTTCTTGCGATGTCAGAAGGAGGTACTCGATGAGAAGGAACACCAACTAGAAGTGCGTACTTTTTTGCATTTTTTTTTTTTTTTTTTTTTCATTTCTCTAAGACTACTTTCACACTGAGTTTTTGAAGCATTTTTGCGTAAAAAAAAAAAAAAAAAAGTGCCTGAAAAGTTCAAGAAAAATTCTTCCCTATGTATGTGAATGTATATCTATGTATGTTTTCACACTGAGGTGTTGCGCTTGTGGAGCAGTGTAAAAAACTCCTGCTTTGGGGCATGTTTGGTGAATTAAAAAAAAAAAAAACACCCCATAAATGCCTCTTCCTATTGAAATCAATGGAAAACTCCTGAAAAGCATCTCAAAAACTCCTCTGAGAAGCGTTTTTGGTGCAGTTTTTAAGTCACGTATCCTTTAAAAATGCTCAGAAAGCATGGTAAAAATGCCTATGCATTTTTGCTGTGTTTTTGCTGCAGGTCAGTGTGAAAGTAGCCTAATCGTATATTTTTTGACAAGATTTTAGACAGCCTTTGATTGAAAAAAAAAAGATAGCCAAATAACTTAGAGGTAAATGTTAGTTCGTTGCTACAAAGGTAGTTTTATCGTGTAACTATAGGGAACATTTTTTTTCCCCCCCTAGTTTTGGTTAGAGTGGAAAGGGTTTAGAACACCTGTCAGTTTTTATTGTTGTATGTGCCCACTTGACCCTCAGTTCCACATCTATGCGGGTGGTGCCGCTGCAGGACCCGTCCAAATGCCTGCAGCCGCACCACCCACACAGAGGAATGCGGGACCCGCGGGCGGCTGCCATTAATTGTAATGGCATGCCACCCACACTGGAAATTGCAACCGTACTGGGAACCTCGGTTCCCGTGTGGGCTGAGGTTTCCCAAGTAGTGCAAGGACTTCTTCCCTTCATGTCCCGTGACACCGGAGTCCATTCAAGTGAATGGGCTCTCATGTGTGCGCAAATTGCAGCCCGCCCGACTGGGCAGATGTGAACCAGGGCTTAGGGAGATTCACTCTCTCCATTTGTCATCTTTACCATTATAATCGAAAGTAAAAGTAAATCCCAAATATTGGGTTAACATCAGAACGCTAATAAAGGGGAAATCTTCTGAGGATGCTAGTTCTGGCTACCATGATGACCTAACAGGATTCCCTCACTGTCGAGGAATTTCCTCTCACTTTCTACTTTCTATTTTGGCTATGGGACAGGAAAATTTCCTAAAAAAATAAAAAATAAAAAAATACAGTGGATATAAAGTCTACACACCCCTGTTAAAATGTCAGGTGTATTGTGATGTAAAAAAATGAGACAGAGATAAAATATATTCACAACTTTTTCCATCTTTAATGTGACCTATAAACTGTACAACTCAATTGAAACACAAACCTCTTTTGGGTGGGTAGTAAAACATAAAATACTAAAATAATGTGGTTGCATAAGTGTGCAAACCTCTTGTAACTGGGGATGTAGCTATGTTCAGAATTAAGCAATCACATTCAAAATCATGTTAAATAGAAATACGTTCAACTACCATCATTTAAAGTGCCTCTGATTAACCCCAAATAAAGTTCAGCTGTTCTAGTAGGTTTTTCCTGACATTTTCTTAGTCGCATCCTACAGCAAAAGCCATGGTCCGCAGAGAGCTTCGAAAGCATCAGAGGGATCTCCATGTTAAAAGGTATCAGTCAGGAAAAGGGTACAAAAGAATTTCCAAGGCATTAGATATACCATGGAACACAGTAAAGACAGTCGTCCTCATCAAGTGGAGAAAATATGGTGCAACAGTGACATTACCAAGAACTGGACTTCCCTCCAAAATTTATGAAAAGATGAGACGAAAACTTGTCAGGGAGGCTGCCAAGAGGCCTACAGCAAGATTAAAGGAGCTGCAGGAATATGTGGCAAGTACTGGCTGTGTGGTACATGTGACAACAATCTCCCATATTCTTCATATGTCTGGGCTATGGGGTAGAGAAAAATGAAGAAAAACATCCAAGCCTGGCTAAATTTTGCAAAAACACATCTGAAGTCTCCCAAAAGCATGTGGGAAAATGTGTTATGGTCTGATGAAACCAAGGTTGAACTTTTTGCCCATAATTCCAAAAGATATGTTTGGCGCAAAAACAACACTGCACATCACCAAAAGAACACCATACCCACAGTGAAGCATGGTGGTGGCAGCATCATGCTTTGGGGATGTTTTTCTTCAGCTGGAACTGGGGTCTTAGTCAAGGTAGAGGGAATTATGAACAGTTCCAAATACCAGTCAATATTGGCACAAAACCTTCAGGCTTCTGCTAGAAAGCTGAACATGAAGAGGAACTTCATCTTTGAGCATGACAACGACCGAAATCATACATCCAAATCAACAAAGGAATGGCTTCTCCAGAAGAAAATTAAAGTTTTGGAATGGCCCAGACCTGAATCTGATTGAAAATCTGTGGGGTGATCTGAAGAGGGCTGTGCACAGGAGATGTAATCTTGTAATCTGACAGATTTGGAGTGTTTTTGCAAGGAAGGGTGGGCAAATATTGCCAAGTCAAGATGCAACCATATTTTTTTAGTGTTTTTATTCTTACTTCCCTCCACCTAAAAGATTTCAGTTCTTAAATTATTTATCTTTGTCCCATTTTTTTATATCACAGAAACCTGACATTTTAACAGGGGTGTGTAGACTTTTTATGTCCACTATATAAGTTCATGCAAGTCTGGTAAAGGGAAAGTAAACTTTCAAACAAGATGAATTCCCATCCACTGCCGCTTCCAAAACACTCAGGATATGGTCCCACAGAAGTCTGGAAATCTATTGCATGAAAGTTTACTTGGTGTTTTAGGAAATTAACACTGGCAATGTTAGAAGGTAATTTAAATAGATGCTTGCAACCAGCATGCAGGGGTTAATTGGAATAACACAATGTTTGAGGGTGTATTAACACATTTTAGTAAGGTAGGCCAATCGTGTTTGTATTTGGACGGTTAAATCTATCTAGTTTGGTGTGCTTCTGCAATTTGGTTCTGACCTAATTCCATGTCACATTTTAGATACTGAATAGATATGGGACTTTGGTGCTTAATATGCATAGCACAGTTGTAGACTAAGAAGTACTAAAAAAAAATTAATTCTGGGGGAAGAAAAAATAGCATTTCCACAAGTAGATTAAGTGTATTACTCTAAAAATAAATGTATAATTTCATGCAAGACTACTAGATGGTAAGTAAGCTTTCAAACAAGATGAACTCCCATGCCCTGGCCCTTTGCAAAGCACTTGAGAGATGGTCCCACAGAAGTGTTTGGGTATCTATTGTATGAATGTTTACTTCGCATTTAAAACAAATAACACTTTTTAACATCACAGGTAATGTTAGAAGGTAGTATTGCAAATTAAATAGATGTTTGGAACCATCATGCAGCAAATATTTTGTAAACCATTTAAAAAGAGCTGAAAATACTGTAATTATGCCTATGATCAGCACAGGTCATTATTCAAGTCAATACAATATGCAAATAAGATGGACAACACTTTATAATTTTTAATCAGGCTATACATTAAGCAATTCTCTTTCCTGCAGCCTGTGATTCCCCCATCAACACATTCAGTGTGGGGGAATCCCTCTTGCGGAGCTTTTGTATTCTGACAGTGTGAGGTTTCCCAGCCATCAGAATACAATGATCACTGCCAGTTGCTATAGCCCAAAGTGACTATATATAAAAAAAAAAAAAAAAAAAAAAAACCTGACAAGCTGGTTGTACTGAAGTTAATCAATAGATGGAATTCAGTGCAACCAGCCTGCCTATAGATGGATCGCAATTCTCTGCTGAACTGCCATAATGTGACAAATCACCCATGTATAGAACAGAAGAATTAAAAGTAAAGCTATCATCATCATGTTTTTCTTTATCCTCTCAGTTTCTTTAATTGCTAAGAAGTACACGTGTTATGACAGAAAATGGGTGTAGCGCTATGGTAATATAATGCAAAATGATATAAACCAATAGAAATAAAAATATGCCATAAAATCTTAGTAAGTAAATGCAAAATGTCCGTATATAAAAAGTTCAATTAAAATAAACTTTCAAAAGGTGAAAACCAGCAGCAGATATTGTGACATGTAAGTAGTAAAAGTGAAGCATTGATCATATAGGTGGAAGATATCAATAGGTGGATTTAAGGTATCTGCTGAATCCAGAGGTCCCCCCCTTTAGTTAAAATGGCCGCCGGGCTACCTCGTGGCTCCAGGGCGGATATGACATCATGCTCTGTCGGTTCCTCCATACATTATTTTTTTTTCTTTTTAACTTATCCGCTTTATCTGTACTTTTACTGCACCAGGAGGATTAATCTACCTGTTGCATCAGAGCTGTTTAAGAATACATTGCACCCAACTAATTTATTATGTGTTCCTATTGAGGTGTTTCACACCGATGCAATCCACACGTATTGTGTTTTGAGTGCCATTACGAAAAGGGTCCTGTGTGAGTTTGTAGCTGTGCATTCCAAACTCGCAAGTGATAGAGCAGAGTGGCGTGCGGAGATAAATTTTCACATAGGATTGCTATTGAGAGGAGTTTTTGCATTGAAATCTGTGGGAGGCCGTGTGTGAACCCAGGTAACAGGATGCAATTTCTAGTCGCCATGCAACCTGGCATTTGTCAAGCCATGGACTGCGCTGTCGCCTGACGTCCCTGACTCATTCCATACTTTGGAAGGATCCTGACTTTAATGTTGGGATCCCTCCAGATTCCTGATTGGCAGCTGGCTCAGCCTCTCAGGCCACTGCATAGGTGGCGCTCCAGTGAGCGATGGAAGAGCAGAACAGAGAGACGATGACTGGCTCTCTGCTCACTAAAGACCGTGAACTGAGCAATCGCCTGTCTTTTGATCGATCAGTTCTCAGTCTTGTATGCAGCTCCAGATCGATGCACGTTTAGGAGATATTCCTGATGATAAAGCTTACCTGTAGGTACAAGTCACCAAACGGTGTTTACTACCGCTTTAAGGGATGGTGTGTCAGCATATTAAAATGTTATCCTTTCCCAAGTGGTTAAAGTGCATGACAAGGTGTATTACCAATCCAATTCATGACAGATATTTTGTTGTGCAAACACAGGTTA